ATTTTTTTATCGTTCAAGGCGAACGATTCTTTATCGTTCTTCTTGAACGATTTTTTTATCGTTCAAGTCGAACGATTTCTTATTGTTCTTCTTGAATGATTTTTTTATCGTTTAACTCGAGTCAACTCGAATCAAGTCGAGTTTAAATCGAGTCGAGTTAAATATTTAACTCGACTTGAATTTGGCTTAACTCGCAAATCATCGAGTCAAAAAAACACCAACTCGACTTGATTTAAACTCGACTCAGCTTATCTAACTCGTGAGTTAACTCAACTCGTCTGGAACTTTATATTTGTTATTGGAACAAAAAATTTCAAAAAAGATTATTTAGACATGCATTTAATTACTAAAGAACATCAGAAAGTAGCATTTAGATATACTGATTGACTATCAGATCAAACAGATCTTGTAATTGGATTTACAATTCAAGCAGGTATTGATAAGTTAGATGTTATAGCAAAGATGCGGTGTGTCTATTTCTGTGCAAAAAAGCATTTTGCAATTAATGCATTTTCTAATTAGTTGAATTAGTAAATCTTTAAGAAAAAAATAAGATTGAATTAGTATTTGATCAACTTTCAATTACGCTTTTATCACCATTTTTTAGTCTAAAAAAAGATTTGATTATATTTGATAATCCAAGTAATCAAACAAATTATAGTACATATAAAAATCCAATGGCAGGTGTGGAATTTTTATATACTATTGCAACAGTAATTAAAGAATCAGTTTTAAATGAGGTTTGTAAATCACTATCTTAGAGTTTATTAATTGACGAAAGTAATACTATTATACATGATAAAACATGTGCAATAGTTAGCAAATACATGGCGGAAAATATTCCTATATTTCATTATTTAGGATTAATTGAGTTATTAAATATAGATGCCAATGCTATTATGAAAATTTTAGAAAATTTTTTTGTCACAAAAATGCTAAATACAGATGATTTAATGCATTTTAGTAGTGATAGTGCTAGTGTAATGTTAGGTATATATTATTGTATTTCAAATGTAATTTTAATCATCAATAATATACGCTAATTTATTTAACTTTATTTATATATTATCCCTTAGATTGTAGAGCAGGCAAATTTGCCTGCGAACATAAAAAAAAAGTATTAATTTTTTAATAAAAAATAAAATATTAATGTTA